TCAAGGCAAGCAGGATTTTATGCCTTCCTCCGTGCACTTAACAACATATGTGAGCGTATATACACAGAGATGCTTTTTTAATTATGAAAATGAATGATACTCAACAATTTCATGACTTTTTTTTTAACCTAAATATAAAAACCACCAAGAAATCACGAGCCAGCAGAGAGATCAGACTCATTCTTTAAAGTACTGTGCACTTTTTCCAATTGCAGACCATCATTGTTTTTCACCCCCAAAGAAAGACTCGCTGTTTGGTGCACCAGACCTGCTGACCTGAGAAAACCTTGCAGTGGTCTGATTCTCCAGTGAAGTGTTTCCCACCTTTGTAGTTAGGAAAGAACTGCTGCTTGTTACTGAAGAAGTTTGGGAACAAAACAGTTCCTTAATGAAACTCAGTAGATGGAATAGGTCCAGAGGCCCATGAGAACAGAGGCCATCATGTCTTTCACCACTTGGTTTGCTACTGCCCAACAGATGTGCATGACAGGCTACTGGCAGGTGTTGAGGAAACCCAGGGCCATGACTAGACAAGGAAAACTGAAGCTCACTTATGGTGCTTGGAAGGAAAGATGACAAGCAGCACATAAAAAAAGGGGGGGCCTACTAAAGTAGAACCAATGGAAGAGACAGGAAGTCTTTTAATGAAAATATACTGGAATAATAGAACTTAAAAAAAAGAAAACTTTCAGTAAAAACAAAACCCAACAGTTTTTAATTAAAAATTTAACATTTCAACAGAAAAAGAATGCTTGTCCTTAAAAACCACATTAGTGGTCAGAAAAAATCAAGTGGAAGAAATACCTCACAAGAAACCCAGTGACAGATCCCAAGTTGAGAAAGGCCAAGTTAAATGGAGATCAGATCCAAGAAATCAAGTGAGGAGGAAGAATGGATCACGGGAAGAAGTAATAACACAATGGAAGAAACTGTTACATAACAAAGTCCTGAGGCCCTGAATACCACAGGAAAACCATGCAAAACTGTTAGAACTATTGGGAAACAGGATTCCTGGGATGGTAAAAAGCTGGAAGCAGGGGCTGAGGTTGTGGCTCAAGTGGTAGCGCGCTCGCCTAGCATGCATGAGGAACTGGGTTCGATTCTCAGCACCACATAAAAACAAAATGAAGATATTGTGTCCACCTAGAACTAAAAAATAAATATTAAAAAACAAAGCTGGAAGTAGAACACTCCTCATGGACACTTGGGCACTAACTGGGGCTTCACAGAGGAGCATTAAGCACAGAGATTGCCAAAGTTCTTCCAGGATCTAGCAAACTTCTTTTGTTATACTGTGTCAACAGTAGCTAAGTACCAACCTTAGGGTGCAGATACTGATATTTAAATGCCACAGACACAAATTATTTTTAATAATATTAAAAATATAAAAAAGAACATTCATAAATATGTCAAATGCATTAATGTTAAAAGAAACCACTACTTTTATATATGAAATGGATGCAAAGGTAGTTTGGTTAGAGTGAAGAGCAGAGACTCTGGATGTGGAATTGAATGCCTACCACATTCAAGCTGTGTGGCCAGGGGCAAGTTACTTAACTTTTAAGTGTCTTTGTTTCCTGAAAAATAAATGAGTTAATATGTATATTACACTTAGAACTTTAGAACATAGCAAGTGCTTAAAAAGAACAGCAATGCTGTTGCTGGACTGCTGCTGCTGCTGTTCCTACAACAGGTAGAGAACACTGTATTCAGAACCTCAATTTGGGGGTAAGAAGACTTTGAGTTCAAATATCAACTTTAAAAGTTTTAAGTTTTATACTGCAGCCATGGTAGTTAAACCTTCTATGCTTACACTTTTCATATCTAAAACATAAGTATGAATACTCTCTTTCAACAACCATCCATTCATCCATCAACATCAACTGAGGACCTAATATATATCCAAGTATTACATCGGGCCTGAGATACAAATATAACTATGTAGTTCTCCCTTGAACTGCAAATCACAGTCTAGTGAGCAATACTTAAGAGCCTTCCTTTTCTTTCATGTGGGCATTTCTTAAGGCTCTGTCTGCCTTAAGGAACCTTGAAGAATAAAGAGCCTCAAGGGTCAAGTATGTTTTTTAGTGTCACAGGTTCTATGATCAAAGGGGTCGAGGAGCAATATTTAATCCTGCTAGTAATTGTTAGGCAAAAAAATATAACCAGCTTCTGACATTCTATATTTTGCTATTTTGAGAAAAATCCTATGAAGCAGTGGAAGTTGGCCCTGTGTATGAAATGGCAGTCATAGGAGTGAGGTGAGGAGTGGAAAACACATCTCTGTTTCTGATCAGAGAAGAAACACCAGGCCTTGGAGAGATGGCTCTGCTCATAGGCTACTACTCCCTTTTTACCCCTCACACCCCTTTTTGGGTGATCTTCAAGCCACTGCTTTGAACAAATAGCTCTGAAGTCATTGTCCAAAAAGAGTTTCTATCATTTGATCCCTTATGAGCCACATCCATCAACTTTTAGAAGATCCTGCCTTGGCACAAAGGGTGTGAAATTACCAGGAGCAAGTTCTTGATTGCTATACTTCATCCCAATAATAAAGAGCTTCTCATAAAGCTATTTGGTATTAAAAGTGCTTATTCTGATCATCCCATGTGGCTTGGCCACTGCAAGGGTGGGACTGGTGGTTCCCCTTTAATCTGACACTTAAAACTCAACTTTAGGATGGCTATAATAATATCTGATAATCACTAGCACAAAATGAATGAAGAAATTATGTAATCACAGGACAGACTGACCACCTATTCTTTATAAAGAAACAATGCATGCCAATTTGCTTTCATCTGTCATCATCAACTGGCATTTAATAACTATGACTTAAAATTTTATATTTAAAATCTAACAAATTATAATGGCAACTCAGCATATACTTAAAGCAATATTAAGTTTAATGAAAATTTGGTATTTTAGGAAGTATATAATTATATCATCATTTTGAATTCTTTATATACCCTAGAGATTAGTGCTCTATCTGATGTGTGAGAGGTAAAAATTTGCTCCCAGGATGTGGGCTCTCTGTTCACCTCACAGATTGTTTCTTTTGCTGAGAAGAAACTTTTTAGCTTCATTCCATCCCATTTATTGATTCTTGGTTTTAATTCTTGCGCTGTAGGAGTTTATTAAGGAAGTTGGGGCCAAATCCCACATAATGAAGATTAGGGCCTACTTTTTCTTCTATTAGACGCAGAGTCTCTGGTTTAATTCCTTAATTCCTTGATCCACCTTGAATTAAGTTTTGCGCATGGTGAGAGATAGGGGTTTAATTTAATTTTGTTACATATGGATTTCCAGTTTTCCCAGCACCATTTGTTGAAGATGCTATCCTTTCTCCAGTGCATGTTTTTGGCACCTTTGTCTAAGATAAGATAGTTGTAATTTTGTGGGTTAGTCTCTGTGTCCACTATTCTGTACAATTGGTCTACCAGTCTGTTTTGGTGCCAATACCATGCTGTTTTTGTTACTACTGCTCTGTAGTATAGTTTAAGGTCTGGTACAGCAATGCCACCTGCTTTACTCTTCCTGCTAAGGATTGCTTTAGCTATTCTGGGTCTCTTATGTTTCCAAATGAATTTCATGATTGTTTTTTCTATTTCTATGAGGAATGCCATTAGGATTTTTGATCAGAATTGCATTAAATCTCTATAGTGCTTTTGGTAGTATGGTCATTTTGACAATATTAATTCTGCCTATCCAAGAGCAAGGTAGATCTTTCCATCTTCTAAGGTCTTCTTTGATTTCTCTCTTTAGGATTCTGTAGTTTCCATTGTCTAGATCTTTCATAACCCAATCAACAAATGGTCCAACAACCTGAACAAGACACTTCTCAGATGAGGATATACAATCAATTAACAAATATATGAAAAAATGCTCATCATCTCTAGCAATCAGAGAAATGCAAATCAAAACTACTCTAAGATATCATCTCACTCCAGTCAGAATGGCAGCTATTAAGAACACAAACAACAATAAGTGTTGGCGAGGATGTGGGGAAAAAGGTACACTCATACATTGCTGATGGGACTGCAAATTGGTGCAGTCAATATGGAAAGCAGTATTGAGATTCCTTGGAAATCTAGGAATGGAACCACCATTTGACCCAGCTGTCCTCTCCTCGGACTATATCCAAAGGACTTAAAAACAGCACACTATAGGGACACAGCCACATCAATGTTTATAGCAGCACAATTCACAATAGCTAAACTGTGGAGCCAATCTAGATGCCTTCAGTGGATGAATGGATAAAAAAAAAATGTGGCATATATACACAATGGAATTTTACTCAGCAATAAAAGAGAATAAAATCATGGCATTTGAGGGTAAATGGATGGTGTTGAAGAAGATAAGGCTAAGTGAGGTTAGCCAATCCCCAAAAAACAAATGCCAAATGTTTTCTCTGATATAAGGAGGCTGACTCATAGTGGGGTAGGGAGGGGGAGCATGGGAGGAATAGATGAATTCTAGATAGGGAAGAGGGGTGAGAGGGAAAGGGAGGGGACAGGGGATTAGCAAGGATGGTGGAATGTGATGGACATCATTATCCAAAGTACATGTATGAAGACATGAACTGGGTATCAACATACTTTATATACAAACAAGAGATATGAAAAATTGTGGTATATATGTGTAATACGAATTGTAATGCAAAAAAAGATTACATAAAAATAATTATATTATCCTCAAAAATTAAAATTCAGAATATTTTATTATATTTATATAACATTACAATATAAAACAACTATATACATTATTTGAAATCATGTATTTGGCTCATAATTGGCCAAGATTTATTACAAATTGTAGCTACAGACATCACAAAAAAAATGATTCTCGTATCTGTGTGTGTCAGGAAAATGTTCTAAAAACTAATATATTAATTAAGTGAGAATTATCTAGAAAAAAGGAAAACTAGTAGCTATCATGTCTTCAAGTTTCAATTAGATAATAAATTATATTTCAAATATCTATTTACAAATCATAACCATTAATATTTTTTTACCTAATCACATTTTAGATTCATAGTGAAAACCTAATGCTGAAAATAAATTCAATGATTTATCCAAACATTGTTACATAAGAAGTTTTAAGAAACTGTAAATAATTCTTAATACTCTCATTCTGATTCTCTGACTTCTCAAGACTATGTTGCATTTCTTTCAAAGATACTTCTTGATGTTGTGCTTTCTAAACAAAAACAAGAGAGAAATACAAGTCACAATAAAAATACCTATATACAATAACTGAATATATTATTTTTAATTTTTTAAAAAAATTCTCTCACCTGATGTGTCCATTATTAAATTATCTTAAAAATTAATGATATGGGTTTGTTGTAATGTTCCCAGTATTTGACTAAAGTTACTAATAAGTAGGTTTACGATCTGCTAATTTTTATACCAGTAAAAAAGTATAAAATTCTAAGCCCAGATTTAGAAATAGCTGAAAAACGAGGTTTTTTTCTGTGATTTTCAGGGACAGTTGAGTGATCAGTCAAGTATTTATCTTACATACATACTTTAGCCCCAGCTGGACTATCAACACCTCTCTCATTGGTAACTGTGTTCCCAGAGTCTTCTGCAGTGCCCTGTTTACCCTACAGGCCTTTCTTATTTTCTACCCAAGTACTCTGGTGGTGAACGCACAAGTTCCAAGATGGGCTCAGCTGCTTAACCCATTGTAACCCTCCTGAAGCCAGAAATGCCTCTCAAGTCTTATGTATGTCCTAAATCCATTGATAATTTTACATTCTACCCTACAATCAAGTGTGTTGTGTTGCTGTTTTTCTCTCCAAATTGTTGAGTCAAGTTGATGCTTCAAAAAGATTTGCTGCATTTTTTTGTGCAGCTCAGTCTATCAGGTTGCACTGTTGTGAAGGACACAGAAGGTCTCTTTAGAGAAATCTTGGAAACTAGATAGTATCTCTAACCTGTTTTATCTAAAGCATTTTTGATAAACTGATCTAATTAAAGAATTTTTTTTTAAACAACAAAGTTCATTCTGATGGGATAAAATCTGAATTTTTAGGCAGAAAAATGGCAAAAATTAGTATGAAAATATGTTCAATGTAATGGAAATGTGTTATGATGGTTTTAAATAAAACTCATTTTTTTTTGGGGGGGGGGGGTTGGGGGGTGGATACTGGGTATTGAACTCAGGGACACTTAACTACTGAGCCACATTCCCAGCACTATTTTGTATTTTATTTAGAGACAGAATCTCACTGAGTTGTTTGGCGCCTAGCTGTTGCTGAGGCTAGATCTGAACTTTCCATCCTCCTGCCTCAGCCTCCTGATCTGCTGGGATTATAGGTGTGTACCACCATACCAGGCAAAACCTATTTATTAATCTGTTAAACATGAGGCTAAGTGAATGTGTATTACAACAACTAAATCACAGTAGAAATCAACCATATGTGCTTTAATTATTTTAATTTTTCATTTTATACCCCGCCACCCACCAGAGTACTTGGGTAGAATATAACAAAAGGCACTGCAGAAGACTCTGGGGACACAGTTACCAATGAGAGAGGTTTTCTGGGTGTCTATAGTCCAGCTGGGGCTAAAGTATGCATATAAGATAAATACTTGACTGATCACCCAACTGTTTCTGAAAATCATGGAACAAAACTCATTTTTCAGCTATTTCTAAATCTGTGCTTAGAATTTTATATTTTTTTACTGGTATAAAATTATCAGATAGTAAACCTACTTATTAGTAGCTTTAGTTAAATACTGGAACATTACAACAAAACCCATCTCACCTTAGCTTTATTTTTTCAGAGGCTTTAATTACATAAAGAATATACACATATTTTACAATATCAGAAACTTCTATGGTGAGTTTAAAAAAATTTTGGAATAAACGGAAGGACTGTGCTAAATTAAAAGTGATAAACATTTTATTCTGATTAAATTGTCATAAAACTTGTGAAAGCAATGAAATTAAACAGTGTATGCCATAATCATTTAATTTTTTAACTTTTTAGGTTTTGTACTTTTTAGACACTTGGAATAAAAAAACAGTTTTCGTGAAGTCTCCTGCTTCTGGAAAAATAAAGTTGCATTATTCTCTACGTCATTATCAAGTAGTCGGTTAAGTAATTTAAACATGACTAACGCTGGCTTCAAGAGTATCTTATGCCAATTGAGTATTTCATAAATATTCAAGGAAAAACATCAGAAGACTAATTAAACACAGCCGATTGGTATTCTCATTTCATGGATAAGTGGATCAAAGCATTCATTCATATGCAGATTTAACAATACTGAATATTTACTTAACACCAAATTATACATTTCTAAAATATAATATTCATAGACATAATTATTCAAGACAGATATAAAAATCTAACTTACACTCTAAATTGTGTTTATCTTTAAAAAATGAAAAATTCATACCATGAAGAAAATAAGTAAATGATAACTCTAAGTTTCATTAAGAGCACATGCAGGGGGAGGGCCTGATGAGACCTGGAGCAATGTAATACATGCTGCCAGGAAGGCAGGACAAATTCTTTGGCATAATGCTGACATTTACATTTTATGTTTTATATTATTTATTTTTAATACTATCAGTAAAATAACAGCCTTGATACCCCTCAATTTGTACTTTAACAATTTAACTAAACTGCATGGTATGAATGTGCTAATTTAGTTTTTACAATATATTAAGTCATAATAATACTTACAGTGTTTATTTTGCAAACAAGTTGGTTTTGTTCTTCATTTTTCTTTCTAAGCTCAGTTTCCAGATCTAATATTTTAGTTTGTAAAGCCCTCTCTCTAGAAGTCATTTTCTCTACTTCTTCAGAAACCTGTAATTTTTATTAAGAAAGTAAAACAACTAAATGTGCTTTCTTTAAAATGAGATTTAAAGCTGTGACAAGGTTATACTGTACTTTTTTATTCCAAAATAGGTATTGGACAATTAAAAAGTGCTTAAAAACAGTCTATCTTGAAGAAGCACATATAAGTATCTATACTTTTTTCATAAGTATTTGAAAAGTTAGCTTGAGATACAAAAGATTTTTTTGTGTACATTTTTACTGCTTTGTAACTAAGGTAGGTGTTTTCTCCAACCACATATTTTTAACAATATAAGAGCGATTTCTATTTTTAATAGAATTTATATGCACCATGGTGTCTACAGCAGCAGTGGAATACATAAAGTTCTCATGAAATCCTTATTATATTTTTGGATGGATAGAATGGAGGGGAATGTCACACACACACAGAAACATGCACGTTACACGACTGGCTTTTCATTCATTCACTTAAGTGGCCTGAATTTGAGTTTTCATATTTCTCTCATTGCTTATTTTATCAGAAGGTCTAGCTTAGCTCATCAAAAATTCAGATATTTGAAAGGCTTTCTGTAGGAATGTTGAGTCGGAGCCACAAAAATGAGAATGAAAGTCAGGTCCAGTCCAGGAACAAGAAGCTAGTAGGAAGAAGTATCCTCTAACCTAAGGCTGTAGACATGGTTCTAAGTTTTGATGAAAGAAATTACAAACATTTCTTCTGCACAAATGCTAAGGAAGATTTTGACTGAGGGATGCTAGCAGGATCTGAAGCTATGGAGGTAAAGGCCCTATCTCCTTGGAGTGGGCTATGGAGATAGGGCAGTGATGGCACTTCACAAGTGTACAGAAACTACAGACAGCCCCACATCCACTGCAGTGGGAGAGAAAGGAGAGGGCAGATACGTCTCTAAGGACTTTAAACACTTTTGGGAAGGAATTTGAGAGTACCTATAATTTTCAAGGTTCACTAAGGCTGAATCCAAAATAAAGCCACCTCTTATTTTCATAACAAAGGTTGGTGGGGCTGAGAAATTTGTATTACACTTCTGCCATTGGCAGTACATTTTGATATCTAGCTTTTATTCAACAATGTGCTCCCAAAATCAATTTAAATTGGTTTCTCAGAGTTTAAAAAAATAGACTATATATGTGATACTTGGAAGAGTCACATTTCAAGAATATTAGATTTTATCTGACTTTTATGAAATGAACATTAATGGAATTGAGGAAGACCACGGGTAGAAGTAAGTTTGGAGGAAATGATTCAGAATTTGGGTTTAGACCTACTAAGCCTGAGATGTCTACATTCAACTGAGATGTCAAGTAAGTAGTAGAATATGTGAGTCTAGATTTCAGTGGGTGGACAGTGCTAGCTGGAGATACACATCTAAGAACCATCAGGATACAGATAATCACTTTTTAGCCTTACTTATGAAGAAATGCATAACCCATTTTACTGGTTAAGAAAATTAAAGTTCAGAGAAGTGAACGATGTCAGTGTACAATGTGTCAGAACCAGCATTTAAACCTAGTTCCTCTTGGAATCCAAAAATTACCATTGTTCTTTCAAGATTCAAACTATTGTTTAAGTGTGAAAAACTCACTTCTCCTTTTGAGACTTTCTGAATCATTCCCTCTCCTTCCAGACTGAGGTAAGCACACCTTCCAGTGTTCCCTGAACATGCCCTGTTACAGTACCTACACATAAGATGGCATTTGAGAGCCAAGTGTTAGTCTCTACAAGTCCTGAGGCTGAAGTGTGCTGAAGCAGAGTGTGCTGAGAACTGAGGTGGGGTTTTTCCACCTTTATCTCTCAAGGACTAGCAGACTGCCTGACACACAGGAAAGCATTAGTTTAGGCGGAATGCTAATCTAACTATAATTTAATTCTTGAATGTATTTATTTATTTATACAACAAATATTTGTCAAAAAGGACTTGAGCTTTACAGCTCACCAGATCCTGACTGGAACAAAATTTTTAATTATGTGCCCTTTAACTTGATTTTATATTTTTAAAAGAGAATGGGGGGCAGAGTTGTACCTTCGAAATACTTCCCATCTCAGCCTGTTGCCTGGCCACACAGCCATTTACCTGGTGGAGTAACCCTGGACCAATGATATATGTTTTTCTTCAAAAGAATCCTTGGGTAAAGAACAAAAATACAATTGTTCCCTTTACCCTGTCATCAGGATAAAGACAAGTCTGGCAACAGGAAATACTAACTATTTAAAAAGAAGACTCTTTGGCAAACTAATTAAAATGATTATAAATAAAGGACATCTGTACCTTATGTCTTCCTTCTTCTAAAACAGCTTCCAGTTGCCTGGCCAGTGCTGTGTATTCTGCAGATTTCTCTTTAAACATCAGATTGCTGTGCTTAAGGCACTCTTCTTGGTTTGCCAGCTTCTTCTCAAGCTCTTTATTCTCTGCATCCATCTGTTCTAATTTTCTTTTTACAGAAAATATATATTTTTAAATTACAGAGTTCAGGAAAAAAATGCAACACCAATTTTAAGTCAATTTAATACCTACTGTTTAAGATTTTCACACTTTAACTGAATTAGATAATTTTCCTCCTCCAGAGAAAGCTTTAGAAGACTGTGATTTTCATCAATCTAAAGAAAAAAAAATATGCTTTCTTGGTTATTTTCTTTATAATCAACTACCAAAGAAATCTAAATATTTTATTGTTAAAACAAAAAAAAACCAAGATATATAAAATTATTATTACTTCTATACAGAAAGATACCAAGAAATGTTACATTTTTAAAATACAAATTCTTAAATTTCTGGTTAAGTTTAAAACAAACAAACAAACAAACAAAAACAGTGTGTATATAATAGGAAAAAAATCAACTGAAAATTTTCTGGTTGATAGCAATTAAAATATGGGAGAATTACACAGTATTAATTTACTTAATTAATTGTTACTTAGTTTCTCTTATGTTTTATATTTCATTTAACGATGCTGATAATTTATTACCTGTGAATTTGTAACTGTAAGTAAAAACCATACTCTTCTGAGAAGCAAAATAAATCAAATATACATATGCCCATGCCAAGACAGAATATCTTCCAAGCTGTGGCTCAGTGGTATACAAGCTTGCCTAGCCATGGGTGAGGCCCTGAGTTCCATGCCCAACACCATAAAAATAAATAAATATTAAAAAATTTAAAAAAATTCTTCCTATTGTTTCAAAGACTGATTTAAGTAGCTTAAAAAGCTTTGAAAATTAAAAAAAAATCTTTTCTCATAATTTCAACTAGTAATTTAGGTTAAATAAATATAATTTAACATTTTCCTAGAAAAATCTCTTCTCAGGAATTTAAGTTCACAAAATATTGTCTGCATGTTTTCATAAACAGGATGCATTTCATTTCAAAATGAAAATATACAGTTGGAAGACAAGAATGAATTCTTCCTATAACTATATTGCAAGGGGAAAAAAAGATTTGCTACCATCCTTGGATGTGCTTCTTTGAAAAAAAAATTAACCCATTCAAAAATACTTGAGTGCTTTTATGTGCGAGGCACTGAGCTAGGAAATGGCTGTGTGATTATAAAAAGGACACACCTGATCCGTGTTCTGATTGGTTAAAAAGTATGGAAAAAATAAAAGAATTGAAAATAATGCCAATAAATGTGATGCACAATTCTACTCAAAAGCATGATAATTTAAAGGTAAATTACAATCATTTAAAGGCAAATTACAATAATTCACCTTATCCTGATACCAAGAAACATTTACATTAGCATAGCTTTGCTCTTGCCTCATGCAATTACCATATCCGCCAATATCTAAATATAGATTTGCACTAATAGCCTAAGTTACTGATTTTTAATTACGAATTTGTTACCATAAAGCACTTAAAGTACAGCATATAACATAATATTATGGTATTTCATGAAAACATTTTATCAACAGAGGCAGATGGAAATGAAAAATCAATCCCTGACATGAGTGCCCTCAACTGGTGAATTCACTCCAAGTGTTCCTTTAACACATCTTGCAAAACTCAGAACAAACGCTGGACACCTGGCCCTGAAGCTCCCTAAGGATGTGTGCCTGGTCTGCACATTTCGCCTTGCAGTGCTGCAGGCTCTCCTGAGACTCCTGAAGCCTCCGTTCAGCCGCCGTCAAGGAATCACGGATATGCTCTACCTCCTTCAGATGAGACTCCATCTGGCCTCTCATCTGAGTGCGGCATTAGGAGAAATAAGTGCAAGATCACACATTTAGCATTAATATTCTTATTATTTTAAATGCTAGATAAATGTTATATAATAAGTATTTTAGGTATAATGGTTTTAAACAACAATATTTAAACAAAATAAGTATGAACAAATATTAATTTAGATATTAATTCTACATAAGAACATAAAACCAAAAAATGGATTGGCCCTTTATTAATTTCCAAAAGGTTTGTTAAGAAAACAAATATGATATTAGCTTGAGAAGAGGGTGTTTAAACTACTTAGGAAAGCAAACTTTTTGACATCTGTCATTTTGTGCATAGATGTTAATATTAGTAAAATTGGTATACTACTTTTCCATTCTCTACTATCAGCCTATCAAGTAATTGTCATTTTCAGTCATTCAATCTTATAACTCAGATATTTAACTAAAAGAGAGCAACCCTGGTTCACTCATTGTGGCTCAAATTGGTGGGTTTACTGTATGTTACTTCAAGACAATATGAGCTTCCACTTGATTTATTTGATCATGGTTACAATGAACATATTTCTTTGATTTCATCTGTATTATATTAACCCCAATCTATATTAAAACCTGCATCCTATAGTTCTTCTCTGAAGCAGTTTCGTGGACAGGTGACTCAAAACAATCTTTAAAATGCTCATACTGGGCTGGGGATGTGGCTTAAGCGGTAGTGCGCTCGCCTGGCATGTGTGCAGCCCGGGTTCGATCCTCAGCACCACATACAAACAAAGATGTTGTGTCCGCCAAAAACTAAAAAATAAATATTAAAATTCTCTCTCTCTCTCTCTCTCTGAGGGAGAAGCTTTTTAAAACAAACAAACAAACAAACAAACAAATAAATAAATAAAATGCTCATACTGTTAATTATTTTAAAAAATAGCCAGATTTGGCATTTAGGTGCTCATAAGGAGGAAAACCACGAGTACGACTCTTTCCCTGAGAAAGGGAACACCTATATCCTCTATGCAGCATCTGGCAGCCTTGATTACAAAAGATGAAAACATAAAGAAAGCACACTCTATATCCCCAAAACACCTAAGATCCAAGAGAAAACCAGGAAACTTAGTTGAAAAGGAAAAAGAAGATTTAATTTAAAAACAAAATTACTTTTGTGGTTGTAGATCAGTAACTAAAAAAAAGAAAAAAACAGTAGCTGAAAAAACACAAGTTTCTGCCCTCTGTGCCCTTAAACACAGATTTTTAAAATAGACTTCTTACAATGCTGCCTAGCTAAAGAGGAAACATTTTCATTGGAAATATCTCCTGAGAAGGAGACCAAAAGACATAAATGCTGTCTGCTAAAAATAGATGAAAAATAATTTTAAGAAACTGGTAAGTTGAGCATTGGATGGGTTACTATCCATTACCTCTGTTTAACGCAGTTTGCCTGCTCTGGCTTATTTCTTCTTTCCAGTGGTGTCTCATTTGATTGAGAAACCCAAATTTGGGAGCAACCCAGAGAGAAAAACCTTATTACACCCAGCTGGAATTGACCACTAACTCCACAACTTCTCCAACCAGGAGTTACCATCCGACAACTTTAACAGCTTCCTTACCAAAACAACATGAAACTCCAAAAAGGGATGCAGTTTCATTTAAAACTTAGAAATATTCACAAAAACATGTTCACTTGCCAACACTGGCCTTCCCCTATTCTGTTGCAATAGGGCAAATAAAAGGAAATGACGATTTTTTTAAAAAAGGTATCATTTTTCTTCAAAAAATGCATTTAGCAGAGAGTATTTACTTTGTAATTTTTTAGACACCAAAAAAAAAAAAAATTATAACCAGAAAAAAAAGTGAGATTAGTTTGCATTTTATGGGCTGATAAATCTCAATGGTAATCAGATTTTTAAGTTTAAGTCTGATTCTGTATCAGAAAATAATAAACATCTATGCTATTTCTTAAATCATAAGAAAAAAAGTGAAAAAACATTCACATAAACAAACAACATTTCAAGTCTGGAAGAAACATTACTTCCTCAGGAAAAAAAACTCCTACAGAGACTGAGAACAGACCATTCCTAGGTAAAAACCACAGAAAATGACCAAAATGAAAGAATTTGTATAACATTCACAGAGAAAAAAATATATAAATATTATTTTACAATTCAAATTTTCAAAGTACCTCATCTAATTTTTTATTTTTGTTTTTTGTCATTAGATTATTTTCTTGTAGCAAACTTTCACACCTGCTTTTCACCATTTCAGCCGCTTCTTGCAACTTTTGTACCTAAAAATAAAATGCATTATTAGAGTACCATGTGTTATTTAATTATTAGGACTATAGCATGAATAAAAACTAAAAATCTGGATTTTCATATTAAATAAATCATAATTTTCTTACCAATACCCTCAGTATGTTTATCTATCTAATGTTATTCCTTCTTTAAATATGAAATTGCTCAATGCTCTACTCTAATCCACAATTCTTTTATGGATTTACCTGTCTTCTTCCCTCAATACTTCTAGTCTCTTCATTTGAACTCTGAAAACTACAGAGATTTTCAGGTAAAAGTTACTTTAAGGTATTAGTCTCCAGTCCAAACCAACTTTCAATCCAATAATTTCTCCTACCAAATGAAAATCTGCTCAAAAAATAGGTGAGCACTTCAGTAATTAAATTCTATGGTAACTCAGTCATAGTATTCTTGCTGAGGGATTAAATCTGAACAACCAAGTGGAAGACCCAGATGACATTCTCAATAACAGATCCACTGTCTTCATAGACTCCATTCTTTCCTCCTGCCTACAATATTCTAACTGGATGTTTCAACTCCGTTTTACCATCTGATCCATCCAGATGCATGAAACTCCTTTCCACTTGCATATACTTTGTCCTACCTTAATCTTTTTCCCTTTGATTCATTATCTTCTTTCTGTTCTTTTTATTATTATTTTTTAAGGTGGTACTGAGGACCAAACCTAGGACCTTGTATATGCTAGGCAAGTGCTCTACCAGTGACCTACACCCTCAGCCTGTCATTACTCTTTAACTCAAACTCTTTTTTCCAATAAATTCAGGATCTTTATTGAGCCATGAACAGTGGTACAAACCTGTAATCCCAGCAGCTCAGGAGGCTGAGGCAGGAGTATTGCAATTTCAAAGCTCTACTTGGGAACTTAGTGAGGCCCTACGTAATTTAGCAAGACTCTTGTCTCAAAGAATAAAAAGGATAGGGATGTGGCTCAGTGCTTAAGTGCCCCTGGATTTAATCTCTAATGCCAAAAGAAAAAAAAAAAAGAGAGAGAGAACGATCTTTATTGGACCAGTTTGTTATTCATCTTGGAAAAATCTACAAAAGTTTCATTTTTTCCATGAAGCAGAATACTATATTTCCAAAACATAAAGCTTTTCTACAAATTACTATTAAATATGTGCTTTATTTTACATACATTGTCATAAGCTCTTTTCAAGGTCTTTCACATGAATAAATCTGAATTATACTTTTATTAGGAAAGATGAAATGTTGGACATTAATAACCCTAGAAGGGCATCATTATTGTAAGTTGATAACATTAAATATATAAGATGAGAAACCAAATATAATCAAGATTAATAAGATTATACATTAAAATTCACATTATTGGGCTGGGTTGTGGCTCAGAGGTAGAGGTACTGGGTTCGATCCTCAGCACTACATAAAGTAAAATAAAGACATTGTGTTCACTCATAACTAAAAAATAAAAAAAAATTCACATTCTGCCTATGAATTAATTTTATATTTACTTTTAAGAATATCCAATATACCCACAGGCAGTGTTTGAATTAGGTATTAGCAAATCATCTATCTATAAAAGTATTTGGGACCTTAAGAAACATTTGGGGTATATAATATATCACAAAATAATAGCCCCACCTCTTCATTTCTGTTTATTTAGATCACAAATAAAATATAGTGTTCTAAATTGTCTACCAATTTTAACAAATTTGAAACTAGATGCAGTGGTCACCTGAGTTTTATACACTTCAATAAGGGTTTTCTGTTGGTTTTCTAGTTCCTGTAATTCTAAGAGTTCCTCTTCAACAGAAACAACCTTGTCCTCCAAAGCAGCAAGTGTACCCTAGAAGGAATATATAATAGACTTTATAAGCTATTAGAATACATTTATACTCCAGTGTTACAGAATTATTAAAAAATACTTCATTTATCAACAAAATTAATAAAATAATTATTTTTATTATATAGATTACCATCTAAAATTTAGGAATTTTGAAAAGTTAGTGACTAATATTTATGAAAAAATTTAATAAGACTTGCATAGGTCACATGTTTCTTAAAACTTTTTAAAAATTTATTGACAAAAAGACAGGAATAATTTTGACAAGATAGTTCTTTTTAAATTAATGTAACACTTTATAATTTCAAAAGTATAACAGTTGGGGGGGATATGACAAAATTAATTAAAATTTACATGGAAGATAAATGGGAAATAACAGTACAATTTTTAAAAAGTTGTTCCTAGACCTTTATTTTATTTATTTACTTATATGTGGTGCTGAGAATTGAACGCAGTGCCTCACACATGCTAAGCAAGTGCTGTATCACTGAGCCACAATTCCAGCCCACCAGTACAATTTCGACGGGAATACTAAGTGGATAATGTCAATGCTTATTAAATATTAAAATGTGTAAAGAACTAAAATTATTGATATTAATATAAGAATACAAAGGACAGTGAAAAAGAAAAATATATAAAAATTACACTTAAGTATATGATAAATAATGTTGAATTTTTAAATCAATATGATAACATAGGTCCATAAATAAATGAGATAAATGATTATTAGGAATAAAACATGTTAACTACTTGCCTGAGCCCAACACTATAAAGAAGCATCAAGTGAGTTGAAGATTAAGCATATTTTTAAAAACCCAAATTTAAACATTTTCCCCAAGATTCAGGCAAAAATGTATTTGATTTTTAGAATGGTAACAACCCTACTGAACATAAAATCAAAATAAGTTATGAAGAACTGTAAAGATCTGAGATTTTATTCTCCATGAAAGCTTACCTATCATTAGCCTATCACAGTTTCATGGATGCTAGCAGAAGACACAAGACTCCTAATCACAGAGAGAGGACTTTATTACTCACAGCAAAAAAAGTGGCAAGACTGTCAGCATTTTTATCAGTTTATTGAGCCCCAGATCCCACAGGGCAAAACAAAGATGGCCAGATAACAACTGCATATGCTGTGGAATGTATTACTGGACAACAAACCTGAGTTTGGAAAACCCAAATATCATAGTAGGCAGTAAGTATGCCTGCCCTTTGTTCCGAAGAGAAGCACTGTGATCTTTTAAGGATGTGAATTACACAATTATCTTTGAAAACATGAGAGTGGAAGAAGTGGAAGGAGATGGGATTAGAGAGCCAGATGGTGATATCATGTAGTTGCTTGCTCTAGAAACCAAGATACCATTAGGGAAAGTGTCTGAGCACAACAGTGGCATGGTCTGACAACTGCTACATTGAATGCTGCCTGCAAAGCCCAGGGCAGAAGCAGGGAGAATGGTCAGGATGTCATGGTAATGATGATAATGGTGGCTTGACTCAAGGTAAAGACATTGGTGCTAGTGAGAAGTGACCAAATACTGGATATATCTGAAGATTTGCTGATAGACTGGAAGTATGGTATGAGAGAAAAGATGAGATAAAGAAAGAAAGGATTGGGCTGGGGATGTGGCTCAAGCGGTAGCGCGCTAGCCTGGCATGTGTGCGGCCCGGGTTCGATCCTCAGCACCACATACAAACAAAGATGTTGTGTCCGCCGAAAACTAAAAAATAAATATTAAAATTCTCTCTCTCTAAAAAAAAAAAAAAAGAAAGAAAGGATTGAGATAAGGAAAACCACAGAATGAATGATATGGGGAAATAGCAAAGATTTTCATTTTGGACATGATAACTTTGAGACATCTATTAAATATCCAAATGGAAATGACAAATAGGCAACAGAATTTATGTGTGGAATTCCAAGGCTAGAGGTATAAATTGGAGAACTCCCAGCATTTGGATGGTATTTAAGGTTACAAGACTGACATTACCTAATAACTACTAAATGAGATTAACAAATTTGGAGAGATTCATCTTAAAATTAGTACTTTTAATTGCCTACAACTGGAAAAAGTATAGGGATTCTTTTGCCAATTGTAGATATATTTATGATGCAATTTGGAAATATATAACCAGAGTGGTCTTCTATTTTGACCATATAATTTCATTTCTCAAAATTTATTCTAAGAAAACAGGTGTGCAAAAAAGCCAAAGAAACTACATTTTTATTTATAATAGTGAAAAATTATATTACCAAAAGTAATATATATAAACAATATACAAAATGATATACGCCAAAATATTAACTTCAGTTGTTTTTCACTTGTGAAATCACAAGTGTTTTTAATTTTTTTCCTTTTGTGCCATTCTATTTTTCCAACTATATATAATGAACAAATAAAACTTTATAACCCCTGCAAATAAACTTTGGTTGTTTTTAACAGAGGAGATTGGTAGACCATCGCAGAAATATCAGTAAGCTTCTTGTTTAAAATTTTAAAATCTAAAACTATTCTCAAGTAATTAAGAATAACAATTAAACATCTTATAGATGTAATTAAGAATAACAATTAAACAAATAAAATTAAACATCTAGGCAATTTTCCATTATATGTCAAACATTCCTAGACATTCTCTCTAAACAAAAATCTCAAGAATAATGCCTTAAAAATACATGTTTCTGAATTATTAACAGAATATGCCTAAATAAACTTGAACTCAATAACTACTAACTTAAAATTAATTTCATTATCATGTGATTAAAACAGATTTATAATTAACAAAATTTCCTCCTAGTCCTTTCCCTTGGAAGGATATAATAAACAATAATAAGGATAAAGCAACTTAAGTACATTCAACAAATATTGATTGAGCACTGAAGCTATGCTATACCTTCCTTGAGCACCTGTGCACACAAAAATGGTAGTTTATAAGAACAGATTCATCCTCACTAGGAAGACTTCAGAAGGAAGTGGCATTTGATCTAAGCTTTAAAGGAAAGGGTCATGTATCTAAATAAGTTAAAAAGTCAAGTCATATAAGACTTTCAGAGGTAATTCTTTTTTTTTTTTTTCCTGTCCATCCTGCTGCTTGAAACTTATCAACAAGTTGGAGTTGGTTGGAGTTCTAGAAGCCATTTGAATTATGAAGATAAAAGTCACAGTCCAGGGATGGCACAACAGAGTTAAAAAGAAGTTAAGGTCTCCAATGACATACCAACTCTGAACTGTCAAGTATGGACTTCTTTACTTAACAAACATATACTCCCACTTTATTTAAACCACTTTATTTGGTTTTTTGTTAGAGACAGTGAAGTTGAATCTTAGCAAATATAAGACTTGCTGAAATACAAAAGATTCTTTCCTAGAGGTGTTCATGTATTTTGTTTACTGAAGTTTCCATATATTCTAGCAAAGTTCATGTAATTTAGAAGATGAGAGAAATCAAGTTTGTAATTATAAAATATCAGCAAGGTTGTGTGCAGTATTTTCTTCCTTCCTTCATCCAAATTCTAATCCCTAATATTCCACTAAACTAGCTGTGTGATCTTCCTGGGTAAAGATTATTAATGTGCTTTATCAGAGAGTATACCCTAGATTAAATAGAATTAAAAAGTCTTCTTTTAGAGACCACATTTGTTTATTTCCCTTCCTTCCCAAGAAAAAGCTAATATAGAAATAATAATGTTTACAAATCCACTTAAAAAGAATGGACCATGAGCCATGAAACAAAAAAATATTTTTGACGCTTCTGGAAAACTGTTGACAGATTAATGAAGCAGGAAAGAATACAGCTAAGGAGGAAGCTCATGTACCTGTATAATCTAGAGAGGCACAGTGCTGAGGGCAAGAGTGGAATGTGTGTTAAAAGGATTAATTCAAAGTCTCCGAAGAGAATGATAACCACTACTACCACTAATACCCCTCTGCCATACTCAAGGAGGAATGCCTACAACCAGGCCTTTACCTCCGAAGAAATAAAAACAATGAAGGTTCTTCTCTAAAGAAATCGAGTTACCTTTCTGGGGAGAACCAGAACAGAAGAATGGTGTTGGTGACCCAGAGTAAAGATGCCTATGGTTATAGCATTATTTTAGGGCTACCAGGGAAACCGCTAGTTCCTCAACAGCTGAGAAAGTAAAGTAATATCTGTCAAGGAACAAAGACTAACCACATATTCAGATTGGCTTTTAATTGTCTATTTTCTCATTAGTGTTTCTATCATCTCATTTATAAATTCTTAAGTGCCACCAGATATTTGAATAAAGAGAGCAATATGAAAAAAAAGACCCCAATTAAAAAAAGATTCATTCCTTTTTTAAAAAAGTTTCATTTCTTATCTCAATAATTTTTTAGTTAAAAAGAAAAATACATGATCCAGAAGAAAAAATAAATTGGGAAAGTGAAAAAACTATTCTCATAAGTATTTTCAGATATTTGATGATAGGAACACTCAAAGAACACTAAAAAGACATTCTTGAGCGGTGGTACTCACCTACGGTCCTAGATACTAGAAGCTGAGGCACAAGGCATGTTGCCAAAGCCTGGGCAACACGAAAAGACTACCCCATTTGGAAAAAAAAGAAAACTTCGAAATTAAAATTTTGTAAGAAAGATAAAAATCAAGGAAATCTCCTAAAACATTAAACAAAAACCAGAGATGCAGAAACAGTACTGATCCAGTAGGAACAACAAATCATCAGTACTATCAGCAGTACATCTAGTAATAGAGACTCAAAAAGATGGAAAGGAGCAAGGGTATTACCAATTAAATAATACAAGAATTTTCCAAAGCAAAAGGATGTTAATCTTTGTATGTACAAGATCAATAAAGTACTTAGCAATGTGGACAAGAAGACAACATACCTAGAAAATGTGTTTGAAATTCCAAAACATCAAGGATAAAGGGATTTTTTTAAAAAAACTTCAATTAAAAATGTCACTACCAAGGAAAGAATCAGACTGTCAACAGATTTTCTCCACCAGCAACTCTAGAAGATAAAAAAGCAAAGCCATCAAAGCTTTGAGTAAAAATTCATCTCCCTTTAGGATTCTATAGTTGAAATCATTGACCAAAATGAGGACAGAATAAAGGCATTTTTTAGACATGTAAAAACTTTATGTTTACTTCCCTTTTCTTAAAGGAAAGTTTTAAAAAGGTATATTTCTGAAAAAAAAAATGAGGAATAACAATAAAGACATCATCAGATCCAGGAAACAGCTGAACCATAAGAGCAGCCAAAGTCCAGCACAGCTTCTGGGCAGCAGGCCTGGAGACCAACCCATGAGCATCAAAACAGGAAGACAGAGGGTCTCAAGTAGAAGAGTCAAGGGAAAACAGGTTCTTCAGAGAACAGAAACATGATGAGAGTTTCAGGAAAAAACAAGGCTATGATAAGGGCAAAGAGCACAACAAGCAGACATTTGGAAATTCCAGGAAAAATTAAAAAGCTGGAAAAGAAAAAAACTTGTAAAGATTATTTGACAGTGTAATTAAAGAACAATTACGTATTCATTGTTGTCTGTGTTTAGAATTAATCCATACAAAGAGAATTTAAGAATACAGGACAAATTGTCAAGATTAACAGTACTGGCAACATAAAAAGAAACCGGGAGGTGAAAAGAGAAAAAAGATGAAGGGAAAAGTAGACATCAGTACCCTTACTAAACAGGAAGTCAATGCATATAATCTGTTTTGTGCTTCACATCTGTCCAGTGAAGCTCCCCCCCTCCGCCCCACTAGAAAGCAGAGGAATGATGCCAGTGTGACAAAAGAAGTCATTTTTGTTCTATTGCATTTTTTTCCAGCTTATAATAGTCTGCAACATCAAAAAAAAACATGAGCTGAATTAAAATGCACAAACGCAATTAAACATGCACACACACCTAGAGATGCACTGTACATAAAGCCAATATGCCCCAGGTTCTTCCTCTTCCTTCTGTGGTTATAAACCCTGTCCTGGAAGTGTTTATTGCATTTTGCCCTTATGTTAAGAATTTTGTGTCCCTAAGAATCTTTTTTTAAACAATCTTTTTAAAAACTTCTTCTATCAACCCACCTTTATTAAAAAAAATAATAATAATAAAGTAAAGTAAGTCAATCCCCCCAAACTAAAGGTCAAATGTTCTCTCTGATACATGGATGCTAACACAAAAAAAGGGGTAGGAGAACAGAAGTTCTGTGGATTAGACAAAGGCGAATGACAGTAAGGGAGTGGGGATAGGAATAGGAAAGACAGTGGAATGAATCTAACCTGACTTTCCTAAGTAAGTATTTACTAACTGTTTTTATATGAGGAATTTAACATGTCTTTTTAAGTTGTCTGAGTATTTAGTCATTTTTGTTAGTGCCCTACTAATTAAAAAGTCAATATAAGTGACTAAATTTGATAAGACAAAATATTTATGGTGTATGGTTTAGAGATATACAGATAACCACCAGAAGAGCCCAAAATTGTAACTGTTTAGAGATTTAAAACTAGCTTCTCGAAGAACTGCAAATTAAAACCACTGATATCATTTTTATCTCTCAAATTAGTAAAAGTTATGAACAACAGATTTTATTTCTAGTGCTGATAAAGTATAGAGAATTAATAACATTGTTAGTGATCTAATTTTTTGAGAAAAAAATGTGGCAAAGCTATCTTTACAAATGTTTATATCCCTTGACCCAGTAATACCACATGTGGGAATCTAAGCTAAAGAAAATACAACAACAACAAAACCTTTATATATTAAAAAAAAAGAATCAGAGCATTGTTTGTAAAAGTTAAAAAATTGAGAATAATGTAAATGTGATTTAGGGGAATACATATCACAAAGGGAATATATATCACAAAGCAATTACAAAGGATGCTTAGTGTTAAGTTTATACTTAATATTAAGTGTAAATATATTACTCTTCTGTAATATATTTTCCATTTTAAATTGAACAAAGCAAGACATATTTAGTGACAACTATGGAATAAAAACAAATTTTACAAAATGTGATTATCTTCAGGATATATGGAATCAATAGTTATTTTGTTCTTTTCCTTCTGTATTTCCATAGTTTCCAAGTTTGCTATAATGAATATGTATTCTTCCCTCAGAAGATAATACTAAATAATGAAGAGTAGAGCTATGCACTAAATAACTGAATTTCTTTTATAAAGAAAATAAGAAATCCATATTACCTAAAACAATGAACTTACAGAATTTTCTGAGAGAAAAGTTCTGTTTAGAGAATTTACTAATTCTGAATGTCACTGCTATTAAAAAAAAGTTAAGTACTTATGTGAGTTATAACTCTGATTTTAAAAAATCTTTCTTTACCAAATGTAGCCAAAATAATGATATTACTAAATAAGCTAAAGGTGAAAAAAGTAGAACCTTGCTACTTCCTGTCACATGTATCAACTAGATTCCTAACACTTCCTCCATTCATTCCCAAAGGACCACAGGCTGTTGCACTGTCAAGTTCAAGTCCTCCTTCAAATAAATTAAATCTCTCTACTTGGAACAAAATGGCCTTGAGCTTTATGAGCCTGACCTTGACCACTGACTTAAAGGAGACTGAAAATCAAGGTGAGGAAATATCAATATTATAAACCAACATAGGGAAAGGATCTTTCTGGCCTGGGTACAGCCACCTTTCTGTCATACACAGTAAGTAACCTTTAATTACTGTATACTACAGTACCTAAAAAATAGATTGGCCCTAGGAAAATATGCCAAAATTTACAATGGATTAAATTCTCTCTCCAGTACATGATGTTTTAGAGATATGAAGAAAGAAAATTTAGAAAGAGTAAAAGATATTTGATTTGTATCCAAATCCCTTCTGGAAATAATCTTTTTAAATAACAATTATGAAACTTAAAGCATGAAATACCATCATTTTATTAAAGCAATTTTCTTTGGTGATAATTTTTAAATCTTCTATATATTTTCTCATAAACAAATTCATAAAATCAGTCAATTGCATTTTTTATGTAATGTTTACATAATTCTAAACAGCCAATCATATATTTTTTTCTAAGAAAAAGAAATGAATACATTTATAATGAAAAAAATCACTTAGCTCTTTAAAAATGTAAGTTTGGCAGGCACCGTGGCACAAACCTGTAATTCCAGTGACTTGAGAGGCTGAGGCAGGAGGAACAAGTTCCAGAAAGACCTGCTCTCAAAATAAAAATAAAAAGGCTGGTGGTAGAGTGCCCCTGGTTTCAATCCCTAGTACCACACACAAAAAAAACGGTCTTAGTACTACTTCTCTTTTAACATTAAAAATCTTTTCCTCTCCAAATACCACACAAATTATAATATACATCTTAATACACAAAATAAATCTATATTGCTATATCTATTAGGTAATCTTAAATGCTATAATAAAATTACACTGTTATAAACACAGAAAAACAAGTCTCTCTAGAATGTACTTGTGTTGGATATTATGCTAATATATTATTTATCCTATACACACAAACTTTATTTCATTGTTCAAAATGATTATTTTCTGTCCTCCAAAAGTAGTATTATGAAACTGAAATTCATAGTGCCAGCATCTGGTTACATGTATCTCTTGGTGACTGAGAACTCATCTTCTTATTTCTCAGGAAAGTACAAAAATTTCTTCCCCTTCTCTTCTCTGGTACAAATACAAATCAATCACCCCTTGGATTTGACTCAGTTGGAAAATTCTTTCTGATTATAAAGCAGCCAAGAACATACTTTCTGGTTTCAAACAGACCAGGCTTGAGATTATATTCTAATGTAACCATGACACTTAGCAATAGTCTTACACATTAACGTAATTTTGGATGATTCACTTTATTGCTAAAACTAGAGAGTAAATAAATTTTCCTAAAGCTGAGGCAAAGAGATAGTTATTCAACTTCATAAGCTTTATGTTACACTGCTGAATACAATTTAAACATGTATCTGGGTATGTAACTATAAACAATTATATATAGATACATATACAAATGTGTGTGGATATAGCATATGCATACACACACACACAGGACAGATTTAGCAGTTGTCTACTGTAATACTCTAAGAGCCAGAGCAACAAACATGCAGAATCTCCAAGTTACTTCGACTAAGTGAAGTTGTCATTACATAATACACAACAGACAGACACACACTTAGTACCTTCAATTCCTTGTTTTCAAGACTCAGAGTTTCACTTTCATGTTCCATTGAGTGAAGTTTTCTAAGAATATCTTCACATGAATTTTTTCCATGGACTTCCATTTTCTTCAGGTCTTCCAAAAGATTAGTGATTTGCCTTTATAAAATCAATAATATATTTTATAAAAGTTATAAAAGTTTTCATTCAAGTAACATATCTTAAGTGTGTTTCTGAAATATATATAAATATACGTGCATATATATTTATATACACATGTATATGCACACACACAGACACCCAGGATGCACTGTTTCAAACAGGAAATACACAAAAAAGTTAACAGAACTCAGCAAGGGAGGAAATCTGGAAGGTTACTAGGTTACCAGAGTTACTTTGATTAGAATCAACTATCCATTGATGATGCCAATAAAAAATTATACAACAATCTCTCTGCTAGTCAATAAAATGTGTAAACTATCATTCACAGTTATACATGTCTGTTTCTCTCATTCGTATATATGTACATAAGCACATACTCTTTTAGGGATAAGTTGAAAGAAAGGATCAGGAAAGACAATGACAACCCATCTTCAGAAGCAAATTATATGTGTTAGTTTTCAATGATAAAAATGAACAGAACACATAGAAAACAAAAATAGTAAAAAAAAAAATTTAAGGGTTTGTTATTGTTAGTTTATCAGTAGTAAATTTCAAAGCATAAAATGTATGACTATTTAGTCATCAATTTTCTGTTATGCATTTAAGTCACTTTAATTAAGGAATAATTTTAGGATTTTCAGAGCATTTGTGTTATAAAGTTTGTTATATATTTTTACACATTCTTATTTGAAAAATATTTCCATTTAAGAAAAAATAGTATTAACATTTACTAAAAATAACATCACATACTCAAATATGAAGTACTAATTAATATGAAGTTAATAAATATGAAGTTCAAAATTATAAAACTGGGACACCAATGCACTTTTTATAATGAGTGATTATTTTTTTATTGTACAGTAAGAAAACTACAGAATTATAACAAAAATAAATCATGTTGCTAACACCTTTACTAAATGAAATACAGAAACATCAAAGAATCAACAACTCAAAAAGAAAGTAAAATGCTTCATACTAAACAGTAAAAAGATTCTAAATTCTTCTCTTACTTTTTCATTGTTTCGATCTGAACTTCCAATTCAGTTTTTTCTATTACAATTTTCTCATAATGATTTTTCCAGGCATTAGAAGCTGAAACCGTTTCAGACAACTTGGCTTCCTAAAAAAATACATAAAATACTCATCTTGCATTTTAAAAGTATTTTGTTAAGAGTCCTATATGTATCTTCCAATAAAAGTGTGAAACAATCTTCCAATAAAGTGTGAAACTTTTATTGTAGAAAATTTTAGTGTATAATTTTGAATACCGTAAAATTTTAAAGTAAACTTTAAAAAAAGTATCTATATTACTATCTTTTATTGATGACAGTTCCAACTTAACATTTTAAAGGATATTAATGCAACTATTTTTAACCAATAATTTGTAATTACAAAGGTAATTTCCTTTCTACTTATTATACTTTTCATTTTGCATTCCATATGCATAAGATGCAAACAACTAAATAAGCATCTAGATGGTGTACATAGAAACTATTCCCAATTCTACAACTCCATAGCATTTAATAATACAGCTTATTTATCTTTGTTATAATAATGTCACACTGTTTTTAGACATCATCCCTCTTGGTCATGTTTTAAACCAGTGTTCTGCTACTGTCAGCAAAGGGATGCAAGTGGCAGTGGTGGCTAATCCATTTTGAATATGAGCTTCCTGAGGTAGGGATTTTTGTCTGTTTTGCTCATTGTGGTAGGCCTATGATTTTGAGAGTGCCTGGAACAAAGCAAACACTAAAAAATAACTGTTGAACAGCTCTCACTAATTCACCCAAAGAGCTGAAGCCACTCTACCCTTGTCTACATTCTACAGAAGAACATCATTAGAGTACAAGTGTCAGTAATTATAAATCAGAAGACCCAGAAACAATGATGCCAACAGTTAAAATATGGATGCTTCCTTCTATTCTTTCCTCATTCATCTATTCACTGAAAAAGCACTCTGAACATCTACTATGTGCAAGGTATTGTTTGTCCATATTTTTCATGGTAATATTTCTGGTATGTGGAAAAAAACAGTATTCTATTTTCATATTTTGTGTAAAATGAAATTGAACATAAGTATAAGTTAGGTATAATATACATTATAAAGTGTGATTCCATGTAAGATTATAAATTAGATATTTAAAATTTTAATTATAAAAAGAAATTTATATATTACATATATAATTGTGACCTATAACTTGTGTGTGGTATGATACTTAATTAGTGTGACATTCCTAAACCAGTTAATGATGACGTTATCTTTTTAGAGAACTTTTTGAGATGGCCTACCTTTTTTCTTTGCTTTAAAGAAATGGCACATATCTCAACCACTAGAAACAAGTTAAGTCCTGTGTAATTTTCAAAAAAGGAAATGGGTAATTCTTCTGTATGCAGAATTATAAGACTTTTAATATTCTAGTCTCTAAGTACTAAATGTAGGATCAGTTCTTCCCAGCACTTTCAAAATCCTCCTTTCTTCTTTCATCTGCTCTTATAAACATGCAGACACACAGCAAAAGCCCTTCCACTCCTCCCTCTACTGCATTGAAATTGCTTCTGAACTGGGTAACTAGTGACTTTCTATCAACCATAGACCACAAGCCCTTCCAAATCGTCACTCTCCTTGATTTCTCTGTGCTACCTGTATGAATGTGTGATGACATCTTATTAGGCACTGTATGAATGTGTGATGACATCTTATTAAATGATTATTTAGTTCCTGTTGCTAAACTCTTCATGTTTTGGACTTAAAGGGATACATTTTAAATAACAGTATTCTCAGGGCACTGTGATAAACAAGCTCATACTATCTGGGACTTATATTCTAGTAGACGAAAACAGAAAAAAGAAAGATGAGGTGGGAGAAGAGGAGACAACCACAAAAAAATGAGATGGCAATAAATGCAATGAAAAAAAAACATAAAGTAATATGAGTAATTATTGTAGGATAACTTATAATAGTCAGGGAAGGTATCTCTGAAGATATAGTAACCTGAATGATTAAAATAAGAACCAAATATAATGAGCTGGCAAAGAACATTAAAGCCTGAGGAAGCAGCAAACAAACAAACTCCAACAACTCCATGCATTAGAGGAAAAGAAAGGAGACAGAAAGGCAAAATGTAGTCTCGACGTATACTGTATGCTGACCTATGTTTTCTCATGTATCTCTCCCTATCATGTAAGATAAACGGTATCATTATACAGATAGAGGAAATTGAAACTTGGAGAGGTTAAGTTCCTTATCTAATGTCACAGAGTTCACAAGTGGAGGAGCATTTCTACACTAAGACATGAGGCTATTTCAATAGGAAAACCTCAAGAATGTTAACGACTCAATTAGTTTTTGCCACTTAAGAATACCTTCAAGCAATCAACTAGATCTACAGCCTTCTGGACTTTAAACCTTGTTTCCAATCCTTCTATCTAGATAAATTCCAATGAATATGGTTTAAACATTAGACTTTAAAATGTTAACACGAACTTATAAAATATTGTTAATTTGAAGAAGCTTTTATATAGGTCTGTTTTCACTTCTAAAAGCCTCTAATAATTCTAACTTAAGTTCTTCAGAGGTGGGATACTAGTGGTGCATTAATAAGAAAAAATAATTAGTTGGTAATTGAATAAATGTAACAATTTGTCAAAAACAACAAAGTGTTAAGGCTACTTTTCTACTCTGTACTATACACAAAGATATCTTTCACATGGTGTGTTTACGTCAGCATATGGTTTTAAATGCATTACAGAGATGAAATGAAGTAAATTACTGAATAAAATCATATGGTCTAATAACATAAATCAGCACTTCCCCAAACTGATATTTCTCAGAACCAGTTCCAAGAGTTGCTTTGTGGCAAAAGAAGAGTTCTGTGGTTATATAAATGTGGGAAACTCTTAGTTCAATAACCACAGTACACTGTGTTTCTGAACGCCTTCTCAAGGCCTTTAATACAGTAATGTTCACTGTAACTTTCCAAAGGGAAACATGTGTGAAGCCTTACCCTGAGTGGGCTACAGAAGCTTTATGTGCATGTATGTAGGATACACTTAACAATTCCTGTAAGTAAAATCCCCAAAGAAATGCTGATATAATCCAATAGGCAAATTTGGATATTTTATGTAATCTTTCAGAATAAAAGATTAAAGCAAGTAGGATAAGTAAAGATTTTCCTATTTATCAATAGTGTTAAAAGAAGAATAAAACAATTACACATCATGGCATTAACAACATAAATTAAGTACATAAATCTATGTAAAAAAAATGTATGCTTACCTGATCTCTGATCTGAGAAGTAAGGTATTCAATATCTCCTGTAAAATGATTAAGCCTTTGTTTGTAAATTTTAGAAGCCTTTTTTAGAGCTATAGTTGTTTGCCTACTTGCTTCTTTCACTGCTGTAGTCTCATCTTTGTTTGTCTTGAGTTGCAAGTTCCATTTAGCTATCTTGATTTCTAAGTCCTAAAAAAGTATTAGCAACAATTAAATTATTTCAGAACTCTAATGTTCATATGAACATTATAAAACACATATATTATCTTCCACATATATTTTATCAAAACAACTAATCATAAGATTTACAAAACAGGAAAACAGTGAAGGAGACTGTACCAATGCTTCTTTATAACCAGTTAAGTAATCCAAATTTTAACTATTTAAGCCTATGGAAAATTAATAACATTATTAAAGAGACTAAACTGTGATTAACTAGGACACTTTTTTAGTTCACATCTAGAACATGACACAAAGTACCAGTTTTAGAAACTAGTTTTAGAAAGCATAATTGAGCTGGAAATGATTTAAATAATAGGTATGCAAAGCTCAAAGGGAAGTGGTAGCTTCCCAAATATAATGATATTCTTCTGTCTGAAAGATAAAAGTGTAAAGAAGATATGATGGAAATCTATGAAGGGTACAGATGAGATAAACATAGACTTATTTACAAAATTTCAATTTGCTGGAATAAGGAGGCATGCCACTAGAAAGAGCTACATTAAGGACAATAAAATTACTGTTTTACTCAAAGAGTTATAAATTTATGAAAGTAATGACTGATTTTAAGACCAGACAAGTTTAGATAAATTACTGACTATCAGATCCATAATGTCAGTAAAGGTAAAAAGGTATTGGAAGGCTGGCTTCTATCCACTGAGTGTTAACAGGCTTGACCATCTCTTTGACATCTTTTGGTAAAATGAGACAGAATAATAGCCTAGGTGGAAGAAAGATCTTATCCAGAGTAACAACTTTTGTTTTTTTATTTCAAAAGTTTTAAGATATTGTATTTAAAGTTTTTGAGTGTTAAGTATATGAGAATGTAAACACTTAGGATTTTAATGCTTTTACAGTTTGAAAGCTAGGTAACATCAAAAACAATGTGGATTTATTAGATAACTTGGATTTTAGTCTCTCCCATTTCTCAATTATTCTAATTAAAAAAATTCAGAGGAGTCACAGTAAAAGATGGGGCTTTTCAACTTAACTTTATGATCAATAAAAACTATGCTTCTTAACTTTCACTTAAAATAGAAATTAAGAAGTACATCTTTAGATTTGACCCCTGTGGAGAGAGATTGGGGAAACTAAAAGATGCGGCAACATGTTGTTGAATTGTTTTCAAAAACATACCTAAAACAACAACAACAACAACAAATCCTGTGAAACATTGTAATAGTTGGGTAAAAACAAGGAAGAGCAGAACAGCAAGTCCATGGAAAGAGAAAGGAACATCCACAGAAAATACAATTGCCATTCCTCTAAAAAGCCACAGGGTGTCAGTCACACACCATGAAGAGTTGCTACACAAGGGAAAAAATGTTTACACATAAAAAGTGAAATTGAAGTGGCTGCAAGCATATTTTCTCACTAGTTTTGCCAAATCTCACACTTAAGCACTATAAAGGAGTATAATAAAACTATTATTTTTACAATTTCAAAATAACAACTCAGTCATTTGCCAAATGGACACATAGTTCAAAAGTTATATACTGATGCCTATTATATAATTATTCTCTATATCTTCTAAAAATATAAAATATAAAAATATCTCAATGGTAGTTGCCAAATTACAAAGATTTAGATGGAAAAAGTGGTTCAAAGCATCTTTGGGAGAGTTCTTGGAGAAATACAACATACACTTAAAGGACCCAATTCAACAAATAGACTCAAGAAGAGTAAAAAACAAGGATTATTCCAACCTAAATTCATTGTATTCTCTTAAAAAGTAAAACAGAACAAAATGTTAAGCCTAAAATCAAAGAACTAAATTCTGGTCACTGATTACTTAATGCTTTAAATTACAAAGAATAAGTATGATAAGCAAGTAGAAAAATCAATATCCTAAGGAAACTTCTTATAATCATTTCTTAACAGTAGTGTTTTTGAAAATGAATGTGAACTCAAAGTATTAGGAGAATGTTATGGCAAAATCTCTGGATTTTAGCCTTATGTTCTTTCTCCAAATTATGGATATAAAAAATGTTTGTTAAGCTTAACTTTAAAAATAATTTAATATTTTATTTTTAAATGAAATATTTTTTTAAAAACTTTCCAACTACCTTTTGAGCATATAATTAAAAATTGTGTGACATAAATTGGCAAAGATAACTACCTGACATACTAACTCACAATTATTCTCTTGTGTTTACCAAACAGAGCACTGCAATACCAAATCCACCTCATCTGCAGTGTCCTAGGATACCAATGCAAAGGACACAAGGATCTCTAGGGAGAAGGTGCTTAAAAAAGCAAGCAAGGGGAAACAAGCAACAAAATTTACATCTTCCATAAACATTCTCAATGTCCTCTTGAAGGGCAAAAGCTTTTTGTCATTAAAGAAAAAACTTTTAAAGGCCAGAGCACAGTTTTGAAATATGTGCTGCACAGTTGCAGACATCTGGTATGAGTCAGGAGTCTAAATGCAATCAGACTTCTAACTAGAAGTACTCATGTTCGGTGGAGTTTGGGTCTGTATACTTCTGCAGAGATGGGACCACTATTCCTTTGCCTTTGTCAAAAATAATGACAATAGATCGAGTTAGGTTGTGATACATGATGACAACTTGAAATAATTATCTCAAAGTGATTGTGATTCAAACAGAACAATTAAAACAAAAATTCCCTTTAATTTTATGGTTACAAGGTTATATAACAAGAAAATTACTCAATTATCTGAATATTAAAGCTAGATTAACTAATTTTAAAATTATTATAATTAATAACAAAAAATGTAATGACTGTTTATTAAATATGTGTGAGAATATGTATGTACACATGTAGAGATATAAAAAAAGACTGGAATAATATACACCAAAAAATTAACATTGGTTTTGGTGGTTTAAAGTTGTTTATATTTTTTCCTTTATCTTTTCCACACTTTACATAATTTCTACAATAAACATAAGTTAACTGTATCTTGAGAAAGATTTTGAAAGTAATTAAATTTCTACAAATCCTTCCTAGACAGGTATTAAAAAGAAATGGCATTTTCATATTGAGATTTGGATCCAAGTCAGAAGGTCTAGGAATCTTATGATCAGGATTTACCTTCAATATGGATTTCCCATGGCAACACTGAAATTGAATTCTTTTATAATCATTATATTTCATAACTAAGGAATAGATTTTATAGTTCTTATTAATTTTATCTCTTAAATTTAAAAAATAGTTAAGTAATTTATAACCTTCATGTATTCTTTCAACTTATCATTCTCTGCTTCCCTTTTATGAATCTGGAGCTGTAGTCTTTCATGTACTAGTTTCACTGCCTGAGATAAACGGTTTGCTTTCAAAGTATTTTCCTATAACAGAGAAAAAAGAACAAACAAAAACGTTATTTGCTATAATCCCCAATACCTTTAATTTTACCACAAATGAAGACACTCTAAAAAGCTGATAAAAAGCAAAGTCCTGCTTTACATAAACTGCTGCCTCATTATATTTCATGTAAAATCAGGAGTTTTCTTCCCACATTTAATTTGATGTCTCCTAATAATTATCTTTTTAAATATTTCCATCTGTCCTGATAAGTAAAATTATAGGTATATCTAAAATGCTACTATTTATACCAAAATTCCTTAATTTGAATTCCAAAATTCTAAATCATGAGTCCCTAATTTGTAGTGATTTATGCCAAGTAACCTTACTGAAACACAATAAAACCCTAACAAACAAACAAACAAACGAAAACTTAAAATGGTGTACTTGATACGTAAATCTTGTAAAGTATATTAAATAATCTAATAATCTGAACTGTCAAAAAGCACTTCTTGCACAATTTCTGAGAATATGGAATCAGGATGGGAAGAAATAAAAAAATGCGACAATATTAAGAAAATATGATGAATTAAGATAAAAAGCTCAAAATTTGCTTACCTTTTCATTCTGAAACAAACAAGAAAGTTCTTGGATATAGGCCTCCTTTTCAAGTACCTTCTTCTTAAGATTCTTCAGCAAAAATAATGTAAGAGTTAGAAATTTCACAATTTACTATTGCTAATTTTATACAGTCAAGTAGCAAAAAAGCAAAACAAAAATACAAAATGAAAAAAAACTTACAATATTTTCACTTTCATTATCAGTCAGATTCTGTAATAACATGCTTGGTAAATTGTCTCCTGTCTGTAAAGAAAGCATTTTATCATAAATGCTCACAAAGTATAATTCTCGACATAAAAAAGTAGAAAGAATAAGCATAATTCAAAAAATTCATATGAGCAAATACTATGCACTGTGCAGATTTCTAAGTTAGCCATGGGAAAGACTGTCTTAAGTTTTCCAAATAATTTTTGTCCATAATTTATTAATTTACAAAAATTAATCCCCAAAGAATATCTCAGGAAGTATAGGTCAATAACATATAAAAAAAAACCCATACAGAAAAGCAGTTTAACATAATGCTATCTGTAAACAGGAATAAATTACACTTTAAATTCTAGCAATAAGAAATTTCTTAAGAAATGACAATAAATTAGTAATGGAATTGTACGTAGCCATTTAAAATGAGACCAGAGAAAAATATTTAGAGTCCCTAATTTGTAGTGATTTATTCCAAGTAGCCTTACTGAAATACCATAAAAACCTAAAAAACAAATAAAACATATCACTCTTGAGGATAGGGCTCCTGCTTGAGAAAGTGAAAAAGCTATGAATTTCTTTCATCCCAAAACACATCAATATGTATATATACAATGCAAAATTGTGCACACAATTTCAGAGGGTTCGGTGTTTCATGAAATCTGACCTTGGACTCTGTAAGAGGTCCATGGAATTCAACTTTAGATTTCTTTTTATTCAACCTATATTTAATAAATACTGTTGAGAAAATAGTGGTTGTTATGATTTAGATGTGAGGTGCCTAGCAAAAGCTCATGTGTGAGACAATGCAAGTGGATATAGAGGTGAAGTGATTCGGTTTTGAGAGCCTTAACTTAATCAGTGCATTAATCCCCTGATAGGGATTAAGTAGGTGGTAAAAGTAGACAGGTAGGATGACCGGGGAAGCTGGGCCACAGGGGTATGCTTTTGGGGTTTATATTCTGTACGTGGTGAAGGGAAGTCTCTTTCTGCTTCTTGGTGTAATGTCCTGAGCAGCATTCTTCTGCCATGCCTTTCCACCAAGATGTTCTGCCACATCTTAGACCCAGAACAGAAGAGCCAGCCATCTGTGGTCTGAGACATCTTAATCTTTGAGCCCTAAAATAAACTTTTCCTCCTCTAAAATTGTAGTTTTGGTCACAGAAGTGAAAAAGCTAACTAAAACACTGATGATACAGTGTCAAGTGTAAAAATCAGGTTATAAAACAATGAAATAGTAGGTTCTCAGTTATTTAAAACACAAAAATAACATGTACATAGTAAAATAACAAAAAACTACACATATAAAATTTATTATAAAATAGTTTTAGTAGTGACTTTTAAACAAAATAAAGGTATTGTGTCCATCCACAAATTAAAAATATATATATATATTAAAAAAAGTAGTACTTTTTACTGAGGAAATTATTAGTATTTCTTTGAGTATCTAAACTTTCTATAATTAAGCATGTAGCTTTTTTAGTTACAAAAACTGTTACCTAATATTAGGTAACAATATTCAATATATTTTACAATTCTGAGAAAATGTCACCACAGTAAAGAACAAAAGAAAGTCAAGAATTATTTGTTCTATTCATAATGGCCAGGAAATAAAAACCACCTCAGTGTCCATCAACCAGTGTGAATGGATAAAGAAAGTCACACATTGTGTGACTATTCAAACATAAAAAAGAATGAAAGCCTATCATTCATAATAGCATTGATGACAAGGGAGACCAGAATGTTAAAATGAAAGAAGTCAGGCACAGAAAGACATATACCACGTGACCTCACTCATTTGTGAAAGGTAAGGGTTGATATTTCATAGTAGTTGAGAGTAGAATGGTGGTTAACAAGACATGGTAGAGAGCAGCCAGGATGTAAGGATGGGGGAAAGTTGATCAATGGGTACTAAGTTACAGTTAGATAGGAGTAATAAGCTCTGGTATGCTACTGCACAGTAGGGTGACTATAGATAACAATATTGAACTGTACAATTCAAAAAGCTAAAAGAAAGGATTTTGAAAGTTTTTACCATAAAGAAATGGCAAATGTTTAAGGAAATGTATAGGTTTAAATGTTACGCAAAGTATAAATATAACAAAACATTACATTGTCCCCCATTAATACATAAAATTTGTTTTATGTATCTATATTTAAAAATTTTTTATTTTAAAAGAAAATTACATAAATATAATGTATATGAGATTAAACTCCAAGAATGTATATTTTATTGTAATCAAATAAATTATAAGATTCTGAATATAGAAAAAATATATTTTCTATATAACATACTATTTTCATGCTTATAAAACATTAAAATAGGAGTTAGTTTAATTATTGCTATTTCAAACAAAAATTCAAAGAATTATTTTCACTTCAAATATATCAATATTTTAGTTTTTAGATAAATAACATTCACGTGAGGAATATCATTACTAAGTGGATGTTTAGTGTTGATGCCTTACTTGTTTGTAGTTGGTCTTTCTAAGAAGATGCTCTAAGGCTAGTTTTACCCGTTTAAACGTATCTAATTCTTTTGTTAATATTTCCCTCTGTTTAGAAATCTTCAAACTGGAGACAGAAAGATTAGCCTGATAAAATATAAGAACCAGACATATTATAAGTACCAGGTATACATTTTAAGATATGGCATTAAAGTAAAATACCCTAAAATATTAAGATTATTATCAAAGAACATTTTTCCTAGTAACAAGATCATTCTAATGCACATAATAATAGTAAAATTTGTTAACAGTAGGTAGGATCTGTTACAAAGTACATTACATTAAAATAAAAAGTAAAGGCTTAAACTCTAGAAGTATTTCAGTACTTATTCTAACAAAACTTATAGCATACACTCTATTTTTCTCCCTAACTCAAACCTCAGCATGTTGAAATTTTAAAATAGTTTTCTATTCCAAATAGCACTATAGAAATACAGATACATTTCATCTCTCTGAAGATTCTGGTTTTAAATTCAGTCTTTTTAGCTTTTTTTTAAAGGTAATGAGGATTAAATCTAAGGCCTTGCCCATGTTAGGCAAACACTCCAGTGCTGAGCTACATACATCTCAGCTCTATAAACTAACTTTTGAGAAAAAGCTGAATCTCTAGTTCAAGGCAAGGTAAGTTGAATACCAAGATATACAGTTCACAGCCTGGCCTCTTATCTAGCGCATTCCTGAGAGAGAGAGAGAGAGAGAGACAGAGAGAGAGGGAGAGATTTTCTTTTTTAAAGAAAAGTACTTAATGACACCGGAATAAAGAACACCGATAAATCCCATTGTGGGTATTAAATACCCACAAATGACCATACCTATTCAAGATATGAGAAATCAGTTAATGCATTGAATACTGCACTAGTTTTTCATTTTGTTAAATGTTCATAAATCAAATACTCACATTTTCAAAACTCATCTCTTCAATGGCATTTTTAAATAATGGCAAAAGTAATTCTATAGAACAGGTTGCCAACTCAGCTTCTTTAAGTGTTGCCCCCAATTCAATCTTTTCATCATTTCGGATGTCCTGGTCCAGGCTAATTACAAATGCATAAATAAAATTTAAGTTAAATCTATCACATTAACTGGTTATACTTTTTATATAAACATAGCATGGACTAAATATTACAGTCCTATAAATTTTTCTACAATATTCAATATTAACTTGTCATTTAAAAACGTGTGCATTTTTCTATATATTTCTATACTTTTTCTACACGATGTATACATAGAAAGATAATTTTTAGAATATTTAGACATGTAAAACACAAAGATGACTAATAGCAGCATTTAACTGTGCTGTTTGATAATTATTCAAAATCCCCTTTCTGGTTTACAAAATAAAAAGTATTAATATCTTTTTTTCTTCTCCAACTTCTTCCTTACTCCAAATTAAGAGACTTGTCTTTCTAGACCTTATTGCCAAATCTTTCCATGAAATTCATTGTCCTTCATAAAACTGTCCTTCATCAATGAATGAAAAAGCTAAACAAATGAAACACAAACTAAAGTTCTGCAGGTCTCCAAAAATCCTCCACATTTGGCTTTAGTATATATATTTATTACCACTTGAAAGTGAAATATTTGATTGTTTTTGTAAGATTTTTTTTTCTTTTGGCCATGCTGAATTCAGGATGCTTCTCACAACCTTCATCAGCCACAAGATAGCCTTGACCTGTTCTTATCTGTACACACTCAAAATTTATAAAATGGGTATACACAACTTTGAAGAATAGCCCAGAGTTAAAGGATACAACACTTTTGGAACTCCTAGAAATAAAGGGTCATAAAGAGGGGTTAAGAGAATTGGTTAAGTACAAAAGTTCCAAAACCATTCTATGAAATTTCGGCGTGTACAGATAAAGACAAATCAAGACTGTCTCCTGGCTACCAAGGATTTCATTTAAAGATGCTCCTAAGAAATGCTATATCACCATTACTCTTTAACAGGAAGGAAAATTTTGAGTCAAAAAGTCTAAAAGTTAGACTTTCAGCATAAAGAAATGCCAATAAAATTTAAAAAGTGCTTTCATATCACCTGATTCAAATGTATGATATATCAAGATCATTGTACTGTCACGTGCACCTAATTAAAACAAATTAAAAAATTTTTTTTAAAAATAAAAAAAAAAAAGAAACTTTGAGAAACTATTTCACTTACATTTTACTTTTATGTAACAGAATTTATTTGGATAAAAAAATCTGTGTAACCACGTTTAAGGGAGTTTTTTCAACATTTATATATAAAATTCCAGGTGATAGGAAAGCACTTTTTAAATTTTATTGATAACATTTTCTTTTCTTCACAGAACATAATATAGTGACTTGTTAAAAACTTATGGCAGCTTACAGGCTATGTCACAAGGTAGATTTTCTTCTTAAGGTTTCAAGGGCCTAAGAAAATCATGGCTATAAAAGATATCTGTCCCTTATTAAAATGACAGAAAGTCAAGAATTATTATATATATAACAAAACAATGTTATTTTCAAACAAATTAAATTAGAAACTCAACTATCCTATCCATAATGAGAATAATGGTTATTTTAAGACTGCTGTTTTGGGGAATAATGATTCCTATAAATAACAAGTGCATTTCCCATTCTAAATCAGTAAAATATGATAAATATTTGTTACGGAGCTATATATTAAATGATAATGAATCAGTACTTATGAACTACATTTCCAGTCCCATCCTATTTACATTTATATTTTCATTTGCTTTAGTTAAGATTTACTTTACAAATTTCTAATAGGTTAGATTTTCATTTTTAATTGTGTTGTAATTTTAAAAAGCATAGCTAAGTCCTGCTTAATGAATACATCTATATTCAGATTAAATATATTTTAAACAATGAATAATAAATTTGAAGATAAATATTTTTGAAATAATATTGCATTTGGCTTAAATGATTTACATTGTGGACAAAAGATGAAACCCTGAAATCAGAATATTAGAGTTCCTCTCATAATGATGAGAATACCAGCTGAGACGACTTTCACTAGTATGTCGTGATAAATGTTCTTTCTCTGATGGACTTCTAAGATGGGAAAAGAATTCTTCTGAATGACTTCCATCATTTCTAGGCTTCTCCATAAATTCAGTAAGCAGATTTATAGATGGCTTCAATAACAACTTCACATAAGCTGAAAGCTAGGAAACATTTTAGTTATTGAACTTATTATTTAGTAGAGACTTTGTTATTACCCTATAAGATAAAGATCCTAATGATATACCAAAGAACATTTCTAAAGACAAATATCAAAATTATAACTGCTACTCGTGGTTAAATCAGTCCAAAATTGCATAGCACAATTACTCATCTGTTGCCAATTTTCACAGACTGTTTTCAAAAGGCCTTCTATTTTCTACATAATTTTAAGAGTGTAGAAATCTTTATTAGTCTATTATTTGAAGTATTACAATAACACTTTCATCTAACAGAACTAGAAAACGGATATACAAACTGGATTAATTATCATCTTCAGTTCCATTAGGCCCATCTAATAAGAAACTTGTTATGTCTAGAACTGTGAAAATCCGAAAGTATTTCCGATACTAGTTGAGAAACAAACAAGCAAGAAAAAAGAGACAGGATATTCTTTTGACAATAGACCTTTCAAAACTTAATTTATTTATTCTTATTCTCAGATTAATCTAGGATAGTTTTTGGTAATAATGAATACATAGATGTCAGTAGTTCCAAACTTCACTAAGTTATCTAATTGTTTTCATTCAAAGTTGGAAGTATCATTTAAAAAATTTAAATGTTGGGCTGGGGATGTGGCTCAAGCGGTAGGGCGCTCGCCTGGCATGCGCAGGGTGCTGGGTTAGATCTTCAGCACCACATAAAAATAAAATAAAGATGTTGTGTCCACCAAAAAAAAATAAAATAAAAATAAAAAAATAAATAATACAGAAAGTTGAAATTGACAGAAAGAATGGCTGATCTGTAAATACAAAGCCCAAGTTCTCTGCTCCTTCCCAAAGTATTGCCCTGATTCCTCTAACCCATCAAGATCCCTAAACAACTAATAATATTTTCAAAGTCACATAGTTTAGAATTTAATTGCTCCATAAGTGCTCATGTTTTTAAACTTTCTACTAACTCTCTGAGGGTAAATATCATACCCATCACCCTCTGCTCTGAAAAATTACCTAACACTGTAGGCAGCATAGGTTTAGGTCCTCAAATACAAGTTAGGGTAACCAGATCATAGGACACTTTTGAAATGAAAACAGCTGACAAGAGCTAAATTACTCAAAAGAAGATGGAACCAAAGATGTTCAGAACATTGTCTAATCACAAATAAAGTCAGCATCCTATACCAGATAATCATTAAGCATTTTTCTTTCCTTCAAAGCAATTATAATTGCTGCCATTTACAGCACAGTGCCTGACCTTATAAACATAATCTCTCAAAAAGCCTCATAAAGTTGCTATTAACATCCAAAGTCTACAAATTAAAAAAAAAAAAAAAAAAAATCAGTCTTAGAATGGTTAGCTTGCTCCCCAAGACTACTAGCAAGAAATTGCTAGAATTCTGTTTTGAACGAAAAGCCTCAAAATGCTAACATATGAGTAAACATAAAAATCAACACAGCAAAAAATACAAACTTGCCTTAATTCCGTCAGATTTTAATTCAATTTGTATCCAAAAGATGAAAAGTGTTCTGTACAGGGAAATAAGGGATAAGAATGAGCTACTTGAAGGTACACACTACAAATCTAAAGAGCGAGCAGCAGTAACTAGACTACTAAAATCCAGTGTGCTAGAAGTTGTGAAACGGATTCATGGTGTACCACAAAAAGCCAAAGGACAGTGAATGTCAACTGGCAGGAATCTGGGAGACTTTCCAAAGGAGATGCAACCTCAGCTGAGTCTGACAAAACAAGTGTGAGTTGACCAAACAGGAGCAGAAAAGGCATTCTGGGTGGGGGGTCCAACACTGGAAAGAGCAAGAAAATACCACAAGTTCTCATTCTTTTGTGGAAACTAAAAAGTCAATCTCAGAAAAATGAAATGCTATAGTAGTCGCTAGAGACTAGGGAGGATAAGGAGGAATGGGCACAGAAAATTTAGATAAGAGACACCAAAACACAGGAAGAACTGGTTGTTTTCTTATAGCACAGTAGGATAACTGTTATTTATAATGATTTATGATATATTTAATAGTAAGAATATAAAAGTTGTAACATATAGAAATGGTTGATGTTTGAGGAAATCAAAGTGCTTATTACCCAAATTTGGTCATTACACACTGTATACATATATCAGATTATAGTACTATATCCCACAAAAATGTACCGATATAATGTCTGTTATGGTTTGCATGTGAGGTATCTCCCAAAAGCTCATGTGTGAGGTAATGCAAGGTTTAAAGGAGAAATGATTGGGTTATGAAAGCCTTAACCCAATCAGTGAATTAATAACCTGATAGGATTAACTCAGTGGTAGTTAAAAGCAGGAGGGTTGTGGCTGGAGGTAAGACATTGGGGGCATGGTTTTGTGGCACATATTTGTATTTGGCCAGTGGAGCATCTCTGAATATCTGCATCTCTCTCTCTCTCTTTCTCTCCTTCTCTCTCTCTCTCTCCCTCTGCTTTCTGATCATCATGGGAGCTGCTTCCCTCCACCACACTCTTCTGCTGGAGCCTCAAGGAATGGAGCCTGCTGTCTGTGGATTGAGACCTCTGAAACTGTGAGCCCCTAAATAAACTTCCTCCTCTGAAATTGTTCTGGTCAGGTCTTTTAGTCACAGCAGCAGAAAAGCTAAAACAATGTCTAATAAAAATAGTAATAAAAAGAGCTAGAAACACGAGGGACCATGGCTTGTAAGAGGGAAAGGGAGAAGACACGAGGCTGGATACACTAAATGGGGTGACTGCTAGCCAAGCTCAAGAGCTCAGATTTTTTTTTCTTTTCCTTAAAAGGTAACAGACTATGGGCTGGGATTGTGGCTCAGCAGCAGAGCACTTGCCTGGCACATATGAGGCACTGGCTTCTATCCTCAGCACCACATAAAAATAAATAAATAAAATAAAGGTATTGTGTCCATTTACAACTTTAAAAAAAAAGGTAACACACCATTAAATATATTTAAGACACTTGTAACATTATGCATCAGATGAGAGATAAACTGCTTTGAAATGGCCTCTCCCCAACATTCAGTCAGAGTCTGATAACTGTTATTTTCAGTAAATAACAGGCATCATTCACAAGTCACCTAAATTCAGAGCTACCCATGGAAGACCACGTTTACTTTAATTATAGGCACCCCAAAAATGATCATTATTGGCCCCACTTTACAGATAAGGAAAACTGAAGTCAAGAAGGTTCAGTGACCCGCCCAAGATCACTAGGCGGTTAAATGGTAGAGCTGGAACTGAATGCAAGTCAGCCTCTAGCACTTGCCATAAGCGAAAAACCCACCAAGGGATGGGACCTAGAGGATCCTGAAGAAGTAATTATTTCCTGAGGCTACCAGAAATATGTCTTACTTTTGGAGCTTCAGAGCTTTCCACGATCTCGCATAAAATTTGAAGGGCACTTAAAATACAGCCAAATGATTTCTGAAACAAACAGGGCTATTCCCGGGGACCCATTCTGCACCAGCCCGCCTCGCACTAAGATCTGCTACCCTTTCTAGGAGTAAAGTCTCGCCGCCCTTTCCCTGAGGAAAGTGGAGGGTAAATGCAAAAGCAGATTAAAATCCAGCCAGGGTGAGGGCGAGGATTTTCTCTTACAGGATCCCACTCGGCCCCTCAGACAGTCAGGAGTCCAGTCAAGTTTCCCACACAAACCCCCAGGGCGCGCCTCAGCCGCCGCTGCTGCGTTAGCACGTCGCGGTGACGTCATCCCGCCGCCGCGGTGAGAGGGTCCGTGGGGGCTGACGCAAGTGTAAAGATCGGCCTACGTACCTATGCTCCTCAGCTCCGGATCAGCGAGGAGGGAGCAGGAGGCAGGGAATAGTGGAGTGGCTGGAAGGCTAAGGAGGGGGGTGAATTCCTAAAACTGCTTACGGCGGAAGAGTGCCGCCGGGTGCTAAGGCACCAATGCCACGCTAGTAACCAGCAAGCGGCTTCTTTGGCAACGGCTGCACCGCCCCTTCCGTCGGGACCGCAGCCGATTGGCCCGAGTTCGCGAGCGCCTTGCCCGCTGCTATGGCGGGAATGAGGGGGCGGGGCCGGGGATGTGCTTTGTTCTGCCTTTGTTTCTCGGGGGAGCTTTTTATAACAAAAGCTTTTGTTTTCTGGAAAGGACAGGACTTGTGTTTAATCACCGAAAATCTTAACAGCTCATCTGGGAAAGGAAATAAAGCCAATTTCGAACTTTCAGACACTACGATGGAAGTGCCCAGCTTTTGCTTAAAAGCGGAGCTTTCAAAAAGCTAAGGCAACTGCTTTTAAAAGAAACCTCGTCTAAAATATATGGTATTGTTTGGCCAAAAACCTTACCTGGGCCTAAGGTTTTTCTCTGTTAAATGAAGGAGCTGCATTGTGTTCTTCAAAATGCCTTCCAGCTCTCATTTTTTTTTTTAAACCAGCGCAATAGCCAGTTGGTATGATTTATAAACTCCTGAACAAACTGAACAAGGTTTTATTGAGAATAAAAATTTCACTCAGTGCCTCTATTTCATGTTCCAGTTATGAGATTTAGGCCTACATATTCATAAATAGAGCAACTATCAATTGAACCATTTAACCATTCTAATTATTGATTTTACTAAATAGTTCCTTTTGATGATACCAACAATGCCTTCTTTTCCCCCAGCATTGTGATTGTCCAGCAAAAAGATCATGAGAGTTAAAATTTAATAATGTGTAATTTTTATATGTTTGCAAATGCTGAAAAGTTTCTGGGGATTGTGGTTTAAACATCTACTCTTAGCAATAATGTACTGTGACCTCTGGCAAACCAACTAATTTCTCTGGGCCAATTTTTTCAGTAAAAGAGGGGAGGGGTCCAATGGACTTGGGATAAAGAACAATTCTACTTGGCTTTTCAGTGCTAACCTAGGATTCTAGCTAACCTTGCTAACTTGAAAAAAAATGTAAACAAACTCCACTTGTGAAAAATGCTTAATTAAATGGCATTGATTTTAGATGTAACTAACTTTAAAAGACATCTGTGAGGAAATAGTCACA